AGATGTTTCTTTTTGAAGGGTTGAATACAGTAGTGCTGGACTCAACCAAAGGCCTTACGTAAGACTTGTATGCACATAGTAATGCTTTCTGATTAGCCAAAGTTAACCCTTTGAAAATTTGAAATGTACGTAAATGGGCTGCTTGAACCCTTCTTTTTATATGCTCCGAGAAATCTAATTTATCGTTGTAGTGAAAACCTGACTGACAGCAGAGAGGGGAACCCCATTAACAGTGTATGAGTTCACTGAGGGTGGAATGCCGACAGCTAACTGCATGTACACCGTTTTATGTGGAGACATGGGTAGTTGCCATTCCACAGACCAACGAACTGTTATATCAACTGCCTCTGCATACTATGAAAATCAGCAGTGCTTAGTATAGGCTTATAGATTTTCAAGTCATCGCATAAACCTTGTATCTCTTCAAACGGAATATTATAGAAGATGTCTTTTCAACGGAATATCATAGAAGATACGCTGCTCAGGCAGTGTTAGGCAGACATCAGATTTTGCGACAGACGCAACATTTGCTTGAACCGCACTGATTGCATTGGTTGTGCGCGTCGTCGCACTAACGTAGACGATCGCTGATGAAGGGGGGGGGGCTGGATCAGCCTACCAAGACGAGGCGGCTACGCCAGTGTGACACCCCACCATATTAGTCATCGCACATGCCGCGGCACGAGCGGCGACTGCGTTCAGTGCAGTTCGTGCAGACCGTGCCGACAGTGCTCTTGTGAGGCATATGTCAGACTCTTTCCGCTGAGTCTGAAATATGCCTCACACAGCTGCAATATACGCAGCTGTTCCCTGCTCTTGCGCATTGCTTGGCTATGAACCGTTAAGGAATTAGGTTAGGTTTCTGAAAAATCAGGAAAAACGGCAAACTAAACATAAATGGCAAGCGCAAATGAGCGAATAGGAGACTGTGCAGAGCTGCACCCCAATGTGCGGAAAATTTGCAAGTCCGCAAGACCGCACAAATTTCCCGCTTGCAATGTGCGATACGACCTTGTGGATGTGCCAATCCGCAATCTGCCCGACTCTTGACCAAGCGGCACACATCCATTGTATGCGCAATAAATACAACTTCGAAAACCTTTCGAGAACCGTCAATAAGTGTGCGGAGTAAGACTCATGGCAACCTTGATCCGCTGTAGTGCATAATACTGCCGTAATCGTAGGGCAAACCAAATGTTTGTGCATAGTTGTGGTGCAATAGTTGGTTACGGTAGTAAGGCTGCAAATATAGTACCAAATTTTAGTAATAGTAGCTTATATTAGTAATAATTAACAGATTTACTACATAATATGGGGCATTTCCCAAAAATGCAATCACCTCAACATTTGCCATGTCCACTATAATGAACTGATCACGATCGTGCCTGGACATAGTGTGGTACAGTCCAAGTGCATGGCCGATCTCATGAGCGGCAATACTGACTGAATCACATCCTTGTCCCAGCGATAATAGTGCTACTCCGTTTTGCCCTATGGCTGCCAAGCAACCCTGTCCTTTTTCACTATGATCCGATCCCTAGCTGAAAAAAGAATTCTCTCAATTTTTCCGGAGAGTGGTCATTCGCGCATACTGAAGCGCGCACGACGTATCTTTCACATCATCTCTTTATCATCTCTGTCTGCCTTGCCTCTCCCTCCAATGTTTATGCAGTGCGGTGCAGAATCGTGGAACACCTCCGAAAAATATGAATATTTCGGCTCCTACGGAATGTCGTCTACTCCATTCTGTAGAACCAGAACCGCCTCTACGAAAAAAAATCTAGACTCAGGACACTAGGTCGTCCGATTGAATTTACGCTTTTTTCTGAAAAAAAATTGTTTGTTGGAGACAGGCAATAATCTATAGGCATCATCCTGTTTCAAAAACCTTAAAAATACAAAGCTACGCCGAAAAAATCGATATTCAGTAATTCAATAGGACCGCTAAGCAAAATGGCACTATACAAGCAAGACGAAATGCTGTCACAAAAATTCATACTTATTCAAATCACACTTGTGTCCATCGGTGGGTAATCTGTTGCTTGAACTTTGGAATCCTGTTGATTGGGAGTATTTTGGCAGCCATTGCTAACGAAGGCTCTCCAAGTGAGTTTCGACTAACTTCAGACGCGCACTCCTTTTCGGCCACTCTGTTAAAGTCGCTAGCTTTGCTTATAACCACTCGCTCATTTCTCCGAATGAGGTATGGATCCTCACATCTTCAAGGAATCACCACGAAAAATCGTTAGAAGAATATGGTCGAACCTGACCTATATTCCCTCCACTAGTGATCAGCGTCATCTAAACGATAATATTAAACATCTTGTTACCGAAGAAGATGAGTCTGAGAGGTCAAAATGCTTATTATCTTGGAATGAAATTTTTGAGCAAAGCCTAGCTTTGGCCCACCCTTCCGTTGAAATTCTCTTCTCTAGTTAGTCAGAACGCCTGAGGAGCATTCGCAGAACCCTACGTTAGCTGTTCATAAAAATGATTTGTGCCTTCTTATTTCTATTCGTAGTGAGAATTTGGAGCACCAAGCTATGGTTTTCTTGAGCTCCTAAAAATGGCTTCGATGCTCATGGTAGAGCCATCAGGCGCGTATAAAAAGAAAGTCTGGCTTTCACTCGCGGAGGGAAAGAGAGCAACTCAAACCGTAACTCTAGTAGAGTTGCCATACACCAATAAGTGCTACTATCGTTGCTGGTTGGATAAAAAAATTCAACAGTAAGGAGAATTCTGAGGGGTGTCCTATGATTTTGCAACGGCTCCAAAATAAAAAATTGTCTAAAAATACGGAAAACTATCGGATAAGCTGGTAACTTGTGAGTATAGGTTTTTCATAGAGGCGGTTCTGATTTTACAGGTTGCGATAAACGACGTTCTCTAGAAGCCGAGATATTCATATTACTGGAGGGGTGTTCATGATTCTGCACCGCACTGTACGAGATCGATCAAGGAGTGATCGCGATCGTAACCATTACTACAGAAAAAATTGCGCTTCAAGGACAACTCAGAATGGGGTGAGCAAATTGTTTTGAATAAGCTGAGAAGGATCAGAAGTAGACTACGCGATACAGGGTGTCGTCGCGGCAAAAGATGCCCTAGAACTACGTCAAACGCTGGTCGATCTGCCCTCATGGTAGCATCTCACTGTCGTTTCCGTGATCGGTCTCGTTCTGAAGAACTAGTATCTCCAAAACGTCCAATATTTTTCACCTCGCTGTCTTGAAGGCAAGCTCAGGGATGAAGTAGGCGTGGAAGAGCGTTCTCCAATGATGGTAAGAAAGGGGGTGGGGTCAATTGTCCGTTGGACAAAGTCCAAAGAGGGTCGCATTCGGACCGACGGGAGAGGGAAGTCGTATTCGCAAAGGTCAACGTCTCAATACGTAGATGAGAGGCATAACCTTTCAAGGCTTCTCCAACTATTAACCACTAACGAGTGCATGGCGCACCTCAAAGCAGAAGAGTCTACTGCGGAAGTGTCCATATTTGACTGTTCACGCACACAAATATGCTTCTCGAAAAGAGCAGTTCTTTGAAAACACGAGTTTTCAACACTCCAAACAGTTACAGCTCTCTTCATACTCAATTTTATGAGGAGTAATGATGACATGACCTCGCACAAGCTTTTTGTGCTTCATGATGGATACTGAAACCTTCTCAGGAAGTTGTAGACAGTTGAAATATTTTTCCAAAGTTTTCTTGTAA